TCTCTCTCTCTCTCTCTCTCTCTCTCTCTCTCTCTCTCTCTCTCTCTCTCTCTCTCTCTCTCTCTCCCTCCCTCCCTCCCTCCCTCCCTCCCTCTTTCCCTCCTGCGTGACTTTCCTTCTGTGTATTTCATTTTGTTTTCCTTCTTTCTTTTTTTTTGTTTATCTGTAGTAGTGTCGTCCCTACAGAACCGGGGCCCGGCCTTTGCGCTACGACCGGGCCTTCCCTTGGCCGACCCCCCTAAGGCTGCGGCGCGTTTACGGGAAGGCCCGTGGACGATAGCTGAGCGAGGTACTGGTGGTTAAAAAAAAAATACAAATCTACAGTATGCCCCTTCGTCATCTTTGTGAACAGTCCATGTCGTGTTCGTCATCATTTGGGTTTAAAGGATACCCAAAATACAGAGCCATTCAAATCTTATGTTGTAATGTTTTGATTTTACATAATGCCCAAAGTGCAATATGTGAGTGCAACTAGGGCACAATATTGGATTGGCTTTAAATGTTGTCTTTGCATGCATTACTCGTCCGCTCTAATGTAGGCTTATTTCTTCGGTTCGTCTGAAAATTGTTAGTGTTGTTCTCTGTTTTGTGCATGTCCTGTGATGTGTGAAATGTTTAGTCTGTTGTGGTGTTTTTGGACATGTGTGAAATACAGTTAATAACATTTCGGCGGCGGTTACTGCAGCTGCGAGCGCAACTCCTGTGCATAGTGGAGCTTGCACATGGTTCAATGGGCCAATGGATTGGAACATGACTGGGAAGGAGGTGGCTTTGTCTTTCCTCTGTAGCAACCCTCTCTCGAAACGAACGGATAAAAGCCTGTCGGATATACCTTGAATCGTTTCGTTGAGAGAATAAAAAGAAAGGACCTAACTGACAACTTATCATCTACTCAGAATCTTAGAGCAACAAACCAAGGAAAAGAAGAGGCTGGTACTCCATGCCAGCTGCATGCAACCTCTCCTCTTGACCACCCTACTCCTCTTCTCCCTTTGCCCTTCTTGTTTGATCTCTCCCCTCTTCCTTCTATAATCCTTCCAGGCTTTGTTGTGTGCGATGGATCTGAGGGAACCTGAAGATCATCACAGATATGCAGCCATTTCTCTCTACCTGTTCGCTGTGCAAAGAACCCAACCTTAGACGCTCACAGTACCAACATCATGCATGAATCTCATGGCGGTCAATGATTGTCCATTTCAAAGAGAGAGCAAGTGAGCCAGAGTTCAGACAAAGGAGTAGAAGAATAAGAGGAGGAGAATGGTTTCCAATGATAGTCACTGAATACAATGTCTTGTCTGCCTTCCCCCTTTCTTCCTCCAGGCTTCCTCTCTCTCTTCTAGGCAATTGGCGATAGTCACCCTATCCTTGTACTCACAATGCAGCCGATATGTCCAGTTGGTAATGCACTTTCCAATGCAGCATCAATCAGGGTCAATGAATAATAACGCCAGTCCAAGCAATGCCGGCGTCTAGAAGCAAAGCGCTGTCCCTCCAAACACGGCAAGTCCACCAGGTCCCTCTTTCTCTCTCTGTTTCATGACTTTGCAAACCCTCCCTCTCTCTCTCTCTCTCTCTCTCACTTCTCTTCACTCCCCCCCTCTCTCTCTCTCTCTCTCTCTCTCTCTCTCTCTCTCTCTCTCTCTCTCTCTCTCTCTCTCTCTCTCTCTCTCTCACACGAAGCTATGGTGCAGCGCACTGTCTATCCTAGCTATTGCAATGAACTTCTCAAATCCACACCGAAACTCCACATGCACACGCAGAACAGAAGCCGAGAATGGAACCCAAGACAGCGCACCAAAGAGCTGCGACGGTTATTATATACAAAGAAAGTGTTTGAGCATCTGGTGGCTTCAGCCGCACACAACAGCAACACTCAGATCCAGGTATGTACACAGCTTCCCTCTCTCTCTCTCTCTCTCTCTCTCTCTCTCTCTCTCTCTCTCTCTCTCTCTCTCTCTCTCTCTCCTCGCTGACTCTCTGCACTTCGATCACGTGCCTCTCCACTCTCTCTCACCCAACTCCACTTGGATCGTACCCGGAATACACCCATGTTGTTCCACCCTTGACCTCCGTGGCTATGGCTGCCTTCTTCCTCAACCTCCTAACCCGAGCTTTGCTAACCAGACGTCTTCCTCCCCGCCGGGCTCTTGCCCCTCCTCCAGCGCCCACCTTCCATCCACGTCGCACTATCACATAAGCAACCCGCAGCGCTTCCGCAACTTTCACATGAACAGTTTATCCTGCTTGTTGATCCTGCTTGTTGATCCTGCTTGTTGATGCTGCTGGGCTTTTATACTTGCTGATCAGCCTTCCAGACATCTTCTGTTGGTTATGGGTTGTCCCCTTTGCCTTTGTTCCCTGCTTCTGGAAGTTTACAGACCCTTCTTGGATTTGGCTGCTTGCGTGGATCGACTGACACCTGGCCTCACGACTCTGGTGATCCTGGTTGAAGTTTGTGGTGCCTTCTAAAGACAGATTCTTCAACCCATAACTCTGATCTACCAGGGACTTCCTACCATGGTTTACTTAACTAAGCCGCCTAGGCCTCTGCAAGCATGGTACAAACGAGACTACTCTTTCAGAGTATCTGGGAACATTGTACAAGTGGTTGGAACCACTAAAAGAACACGGAATGGGACTCAGGACTTGGGACTGGGACCTGGGACCTGGGACTCAGGACTGGGACTCGGGACTGTGGTGCAGCGTGAAATCCTTTCATTCTGGCTAGTCTCGCCCTTTTTTTTTTTGCCTTCTTCCAGCATCAGTGCTCCAGCAGTAGCACTCCAGCCTCAATACAGCGCAAGGCAGAATAAATCCACAGCATGGGGCAGGCCCGATATTTGTAGTTTTGACTCAGCCTGGCCTTCCTCCAGTTGCCGCTTTATGTGGCTGGGACTTCCCGATTTGTGCGGCCAGGCCAATATTTCTTGTCGCTGTCCCTGGACCAAGTGATCCCTCGAAGCGTTCAAAAGACTCGATTGACCCTTTGGATTCTGTGTAATCTTTGGGCATAATCAACTCCTGCCCGGGCTGGGCTTGACTGTTGATTTTCCCAAGGCCTATGTTGACTTTTGGAGAGGCCTTGTTTACCTTGATCCTTGACCCCAGGCCTACGGACCTAAGAACTTTTTTGAGCCTTCTTAGAGGCTGTAGAACCGGATCTTACGACCCTAATGCTTGCTCTGTTGTGATTTGACGTTGGTTCCTTGCACGCTTGCCGTTGTGATTTTAGAGTTCCATCGCACAAATTTCAATCTTCATCAGCTATGAGTTCATTAATAACCAGCAATAATATTCCTTTCCGCTTATTTGCCAATCCTCAGAATGGTGAACTTACCCTTGTACTGGATCCTCTAGAATAGCCTCATTTTCATGCCCTCCATCCATAGACCATGGAATCATAGGTCACATTCAGGAAACTCGTCATCATAACTTGTGCAAAATGCCACCTTACATTGATCTTCCGGGGCCACCTCAATCTGGTGGTAGCTAGATCAATTCAGAAAAATACTGACATCCTTGCAACCTGTCTTACAGATCATCTATGCAAGGTATGGGTTCAGCATTTTTAATGTTATGGTATCCAAACGTCCGTAGTCTATACAGAGTTTTCCTTCCATGTTTGTTACAACTGGGATTGATACACCGTGAGGATGAGAACTAGGCTTGGTCCAACCTTTTTGTCTACAAGTTGTTGCAGTCCCTTCCCCGGGTGCAACTGTAGGACACCCCGGATTACTAATCAGTCTGCAGGGAGCAAGCACCCTGTGTCCCAAAGCAGAAAGCCCGGAGAATGTGCGCAGCTGCGTAACAGCAGCCCCCCCATGCCTGGGTGTCTAGCCCCAGGGGGAAATGGCTCTCCTTCTGGTCTTTCGTTTCTTTTCGTCTTCTTCTTTCCTTGCTGTCAAACTTTTGCTTGCCGGTTAGGGGCAACCAGAGTGCCACCCTCCAGAATACATGGGGCATGTGTATCTGTTTGTGAAAAACAGAAAGAGTCCTGTTTTCACCTCCCAACAGTCGATACAACAACAACAATAATTCTGTTATGATTCTGGTTCTGTTATCTGAAGACCAACACCCACTCACATAGACTCTCAGGTATGCCCATACATACACAGAAGGAAGGGGAGAGGATACGAGTATTACACCGCACAGGGAGAGATAAACACAGCGGAAGACTTGACCATGCGATATGACAGGGTACACTGAAAGTGCAATTCACTCCACTCAATCCTCACAACCAGTCATAAAGGAAAGCCGAGTAGATCACATCCAAGAAACAATGAAACGATCATAGTCCGAACCCAGTATCAACACTGTTTATTAGGCTCAGAGTTGTCAGAATAACCTCAGAACTATAGTGCGCTGCTCAGAAATGAGCAGCGCTTCACTTCCCAACCCTGAGTAACCACTCGCAACACCCCTGAGTCCCTGAAACATCAAGCGCCACCCAATTACTGCCTCCAGAGGGCAGCGCCACCCTGAAACAGGCCTCTGAGGCCAAGCGCCACTCAGAGGATGAAGAAGAAGACCAGCGCCACAGTATCTGGAAGACCTCCCGGGTGGAAGTCTGCAGCAGCGCCACCACTCCTGACAAGATGACGTCTGAGGAAGAAGCTGCAGCTATGGCTGCAGCGCCACAACCCTGTAACCCTACTCCAGCGGAGGGTCCAGCAGGGCACCAACTTCTCTCGCCTCCAGCAGACCTCGAATAGACCAGACCTCTGTACAGCCCCGCGTGCTGACAGAGTGCAGCGCAGGTCCCAACTATGGCCGGCGCTCCGAAGGTCTGGTTATGTCTGTCTCCCACAACGCTGAGCTGTCACCACCTCCGGTTCACGCATAACACAGCAGCGATGTACTCGGTACCAACTGCCAAAAGCCCTCAGCTAAACAAAATCACGAATCTAACCTACAGATAGTACAGCCTTGACAAGGGAGAGGCTACAGACGACCAGAAACCAGCAAGTCATTGCAATTCTCTATCCTCGCTGGTCTCTCTACCAGGCTGCTTGATCGTCCACCCTACATTGGAGTTTTTTGTTCTTTGATTTGTCTGCAAGGGAACAGCACGGCAGAAAGTTCACAAGCACAATGGACTCGTGACCAGCATGCACGTCGCAGAAATGCAAAAATGATAGCATGATCACAAGAATTGACAGTATATTCTCTTGATGATGAAACACCCTGTTCCCGCACTTGCCCATCCAGATTGTGCATCTGTCTGTCTGGCCTGTCCAGGATCAGGACAGGCCGGTAGGAAGTACCTTCTGGAAGCGGCCTTGGCTGCCAGGACTCAAGTACCTGCCCAGTACCGAACCTCGGCCTGACCTGGCCTTGTCAAGAACTGGCTGGGCCCTTTTTGCTCTTGGGCCTTCACTTATGGCCTTTCTTTCCATGACATAGCTAGGGGGCCCTCTTGGCCTCACAAGTCTTTGTTCCTTGTCGATGCCGGCTTTGGTGGTTTCCACAGGAATGCTCAGTTCCGGGGCTGGGAGTTCCGGGTTTTCCTCCCACTCCTGCAAGTCTTCCTCAGAACCACTCGGGCTGTGGCCCATGAGGCTTTGTTTCCCGTTGGCGTCGGAATGTTTCTTTGGAAGCTGGAGCTATCAGATTATTATCTGGAAAAACCTCCCTGGACTCTACATTATTACTGGTATGTCCCTGTCCATCCAGAACTGCGCGTCTGTCCCTCAACTTACTGAATCCTGGTCCCTGCCCCTCCAAAATTTCTCAATTTGCAGAGAAGCCCTACCCAAGACCTTGATCAACACATAAGCACACAGGCTACCATCTGCACCCGAATAGAACACCTGATCATTATAGCTGTATTTGGCACAACTTTTGGTCCAGATGCAGTGATAATGACCGGGCGTTCTATTCGGGTGAAGACGGTAGTACCCTGACACACTAATCCTTCCGTGTGTCCGTGATAAGTGTACAAACTTTTAGCATGATGAATTAGCCCAAGCTCAATAAAACTCGGATCTTAGCCAAAGGGCAGCAAAAGACTTTTCAGACTGTTTTCTCAGCAAAACACAGTCTGAAAAGTCTGATACGGCTGATCACAACGGTGATTGGATGATAACCTTTAGCCTAAACCCTCGTCCTGTGGCTGAAGAAATGTGTGAGTTGCATTTTTTGACTGCTAAAATGTTGTATTTGCTATCGTGTGTGCAGGTGGCACCGGCAGTATGGTGGCTTGGGGTGTTCAGTGATGCAGCTGATACACGAACACAATCAAAAATGGTTCGCGCCCGATGTCTGTTATCTTACCAGAGTTGCGATCCCCCGGCTACCTTCAGGGTGTTATGCTAGTTGTGTGGGCACGCTAAGCAGTATATGGTCCCTTGTATGGAAAGTTTCAATGTGTGTCCTTTTCACAAGTTCTGAAAGTCACACACAACTGTTATTGTGTGTTCATTTATGCATGAAATCACGATGCCCTTGGACAAGAGTGATGCTAATGTAACCTCTTCGTAATTCCGATTTCAATGGATGTCTAAGACGGAAGGACAGGGCATACTGGGTGTGTTTGTTGTTCTGTGTTGTTTGGTTTGTTTCTTTTTCTGACCGAGTCAATTTTGTTATTTCAATTTGATTTGACCTATTTGAGTGGGAGGTTTGGATTGCTTGTGTGTTCTTGTGTAGCTTTATTTTCTCGTTGTGTTTTATTCATGTGGGCCCAGGCCGACCCTAAGCGAAGGCCGCACCTGGAAAATGACTGGGTCCTAATGTGGAGCCCAACAACTACTTGGTAGGGCCTGTCAGGGTACCGCCCAGGTTGTTACATGAGCTGGGACCCAGACCCAGGCTAGTAGGCCGACAGGGACTGCCTGCTTGCACCCAGACCCCAGACCCCAGCCTCAGAAGAGACAAAAGAGCAGAGGTCGGGGCCAGAAACACATTTGGGCAGTAGTAGTGTGCGACAGCGCTGGAGCAGCTCGTGCAGCAAGGAAGCGCCTGTGAAGTGGAAGGCGTCAGAATGGTGGCTGCTTGTCTGCACCTGCGATATCGAGGACAAGGGAGAGCTGGGAGAGGGTGGCGAGTTTATGGGGAGGTCAGAAAAGGAGAACCACCATGGGACTTGTGGATAGTTCACCAGTGTTGGCCAGATAGCCCCATCGCATGATCAGACTCTTCAGCAACATCTGGTGAGAGCAGAGTGGAGAGAGACTGTGAGAGATGGTAGGCTAGCTTGAGTAGGTTGCTTAGGAGAGTAGTCCAGGAAGACTCGTCATAGTAGGGACGCTACCTTGTTGTTGTATTAATTTTTGGAGGCACGGAGAGGGTTTTCATAGTCGACAGACTTCAGTAATCAGTGTGTTCCTGATTTTGTGGTATCTCTGCTTTGTGCGAGGATTGAGCCCTCACGGGGCCCTTACTGACATGCAAGTGTTCTGGGCTGTGGGCCCCAGCAAGCGTTGTGCCCACCCTAAGTGAAGGCTGGCCTGAATATCCATGTGAGGCCTTCTTTCGACATTTTCCATATGTGGGGCATTAGACAGTTGCAGCACGCCAGCTGGTTACTGAGCAACGTGAGCCTTCAGAGGCTCCTTCCAGAAGCAATTGCTGCGCTGTACAGTTGAGCCCAGGGCTCAGACGGTTGCGCCCTGGGCACATGCTGGGTGAGGTCGACACATCACAGACTGGCTGCGGGCCAATGAGAATGCAGCATTGTCGTCACACATGCACCATGCTCCAATGAGAATGCGGCGAACACTGGGAGCCTGGAGGGCTGCCTGGATGCGCCCAAATGTAAAGGGCCCAGGCCAGTGACAGCAAAGGTGGGCCTGGGCGCAGATGCTAGGGCCTGACTGGAAGCTACTTGAAACCCGTCCAGCCAGGCCCACGAAGCCAAACACACGACCATACTTTCCATAAAGGAAACTGCCCTGCCCAGGCAGCGGCATTCTGGCCTGAGCAGGCAATGCGGCCATGCTGCTGCTACGCGTTGTGAAGCTGGGTTATGCAGGCAGGCCAGGGCGCACGTGGGGGCAAGAGGTGAGAAGGCGCTGCGGTGGCAGTGGGCGCACGATGACCATAGCCGGGCCGAGCGTGCCGGTGCAGGTGATGCTTATGGTCTTAAGGTAGGAGGCGCATACAAAGGGGTGTCGGGCTGTGATGAGGGGAGGAGAGAGAACGTAACTGGTGTATGCTGGTGATCGACATTGGTGATGATGTCACGTATATTGGTCCGCAACCTCGATGTGATCCAGTTGCATGAACGTAGATAGGATAGATAGGCTGAGTGGTGTAGGCTGGCTGCTGGGCGCGAGACAGTAGGAGCAACATGTGTTGGTGTGACCAGAGAGCGTCGACATTGACATACGAGTTCGTTGTATTATTTGTATGGTTTCTTGGTGCAATGTGCTCGTTGCTTGGTACATGGCTATCTGAACTACTTCGGGATTTTGCAACTTGGATTTCTGTCTATCGCTCTCGCTCATATTCCTTGCAATTTGGTATCGGAGCTGATTCGATATCGCCGTTACCGGCGCTGGCGACTTTGTTACTTGGTGCGTTGACGAAGCTTCTACTTATTGAGGATACATTGGTGCTGGCTGTGTGAGCGACTCCTGGGTAGGGGGGAGTGTCGCTGGAAGGCTATGGTGACAGCGGATGTACGTGGGATGATGAGAGCATTTTGGCATGGCATTTTAGTTGAGGTGGCGCTCCATTGCACTGTGTGTGGTACCGAGGCTATTACCGGTCATCAAAATGCACGTCGGTTCGATTGGTGAGAAATCTGTGGTTGGGGGTAGCTATCTTCAGGTACGTTGCTGGCTGTGGCGACAACGGATGTATGTGGGATGATGAGAGCATGCTGGCATGGCATTTCGGTTGAGGTGGCACTCCATTGCATTGTGTGTGGTACTGAGGCTATTATGGTCATCAAAATGCACGTACGTTGTTCCCTTACCTTATCTTCCCATCTCAATCTCTTCTTAGCGTGAGGAAGTGAGTTCGACTTGAGAGTCTTGTTCTTGGTCAGAAGTCGTGAGTGCTCTACCTTGAGAGTTGACATTCTTCTTGGTGGCGCATCTGGCAGGAGAGGGCGGTGCCTCTGAAGGGCCCTGGACGAAGCACGGTTCACGGTCACCATGCCAACCCACGGGAGTAGTGCACACAAGCCATGGCGCATTGTCCTTTGAGCTCTTTGCTGCGCTGTAGAGGGAACGTGGACTGACCAGTCCTATGCGAGACATGTCCTAGACTGTCTATAAAGAACCTTTGGCGGGAGTTGATATTTGGCTGTGATCGTCGTCTTGTCTGCAACGTTAAATAATTCCTGAGGACTTCGGGGGCTGTCCTTAAATTGCCTCTTGATTAGTCAGATCATCGGATGTAAGGCTCGTTGCACACCATAGAGGTAATCCGGGTAGTAAAACACCAAAGGGGAGGATCTATAGGATGGCTCCAACTGAGTTGGACGAGCTTTGTCGGTAATTGCAAGAGCTCACAAAGAAGGGTTGGATTTGGCCTAGTACTTCATTCTTAGGCTCACCAGGTCTATTCGTTTCGAAGAAGGGGGGATTATTAAGGATGTGCTTTGATTATAGAGGCCTCAATGCCATCACTGTTAAGAATGCAGAGTCTCTACCTCGCATCGACGACTTATTGGATAGGGTGCAAGAATATAAGTACTTTTCAAACCGGCTATCATCAGATTGCCATTAGACCGGAGGACCAGCATAAAAATTGCATATCAGACCAGGTACGGTCTGTACGAGTTTGTGGTGATGCCCTTTTGGCCTTTGCAATGCGTTGGGAACATTCTAGCATGCCATGAACAGGGTGTTTCATGATTACTTGGATAAGTTTGTCATCATGTACCTCAATGACGTTCTTATCTTCAGTAGAACAGTCAAGGAGCATGCCCAACATGTAGAAACTACACTTTCACTCCTGCAACAACGCAAGTATAAGATTAACTTACAGGAATGCGAATTTGGTCGCACTAAAATCTTGTACTTGGGTCATGAGATATCCGCGGAAGGGATAAGGACCGAAGATGCAAATTGTGACTGCCCACGACCTCAGTTTGTGACTGAGGTCAGATCTTTGTGAGGGATGGCCGACTACTACCGCAACTTTGTGAAGAACTATAGCATGGTGGCCGCCCCTTCGACTTATCTAGCACACCTTGACACACCATGGGAATGGACAGACAAATGTGAGGCAGCCTTCAAATGACTGAAGTATGCTCTCATGCATCATGAGATTCTCATGGTCCCTGATTCGGAGAGGTCATTCGTCGTGACCACTTATGCAAACCAATACGGCATAGGCGCAGTGTTAGCTCAACAAGAAGGGAAGAAGTTAAGGCTCATCCAGTACATGAGTAAGAAGATGCCATCAAAGAAGTTGGCGAAGTCTACCTATGAGAGGGAACTCTACGCCCTTTACAAAGCCCTTGTCCATTGGAGGCATTATCTCCTTGGTAGGTTCTTCTATTTGAGAACGGACCATCAAACATTCAAGTGGATCAAGACGCAACCTGTTCTCTCCGATGCACTCAAACGCGTCATAGATCAAAATGACTTCAAGCTGGAGTATGTGAAGGGAGAGTAGAGCAAGGTTGCTGATGCGCTGTCGAGTAGGGAAGACTACCTACCTAGGTGCGCTTATTACTGACTTTGGCCTATCTGACGAAGTAACTCGATCGATGTGGATGCCTATAAGGAAGATCCTGTCATGATGGACATCATACGCAGACGAGAGGCTCAAGATAAGGCTGCATCAGATGAGTTTGTGATGGTGGATGGGTTACTCCTTGAAAAGGCAGGGTTCAAGAGGTTGTGTTCTGTCGAGTGATATTCTGCGTAGTTTATTTTTAGGCAAATCATGACGCAGCCTCGTATGCTTGACGATACAAAGAAGTACGTTCAGACTTGTCAAGTCTGTCAGTGGGACAAGCCGCAAACTCAAGCTCTGCTTGGGTTACTTAAGCCCTTGCCCATTCCTGCAGGTCCGGGACAAAGTGTCTCCATGGATTTCTTGGATACCCTCGTGACCAGCAAGAGTGCCAATAGGCACATCTTCATCATAGTGGACAGGTTTACGACATACGCCAGACTAATTCCAATGCCGGAGACTGCGAAGACCGACCATGTCATTAAGTTATTTATGGATAACTGGGTGCGTGATTTTGGACTTCCCAAAACCATCGTTAGCGACAAAGATGTCCAGTTCACCATGTGGAAGAAGGCCGCTGCACAAATGGGAAGCCAACTCCAAATGACTTGGGGAATCATCCCGAAGCCAATAACCAAGCGGAACAGATGAACCGTGTGGTGCAGCATTTGCTGAAGCATTACATCAAGGCCCAACCAGGATGGCTGGGATGAGAAGTTGCCTCTCATCACCAGTCTTTACAACAATGCTGTACACAGCACCACTGCACTAGTGGTTAATGGAAGGCCCAAAATTCGGGGTTTTTCGTCGCATCACTACAAGCAATGTTGTCGAAACTTTTGCGAACAAACTATGCAGGGTCATAATGCAAACATAAAAAAAACGATCAGACAAAAAATAAAAAATAAAAAAATCAAGAGCAGTATAAAACCCTATTCAGAGTAGCTTTCGAAGTTCGCTGATCGACCGAACAGCTGCAACGCCTGGAACCATAGAGTTTGGTGTCCAGTATGAGAAGCTGTTTCAGCAGGCTGTCAAACACATTAGAAAATCTCAGGAGGTAATGATTGCCTCTGAGAACAAACACAGACGACAGTCCACATTTCAGGTAGGGGAACATGTCTGGGTAAAGGCTAGTGAACTGGGTCAGGAATTCGGAATCTCTAGAAAGCTAATACCACAGTATTTTGGTATTTGAGAAGTCCTAGATATTGTGGGAAGTGATTTGGATAGTCCCTCGTACATCATAAGAAATACCTGGTCATCTGCGCACTTACCCTGTATGTCACGCTTCCAAGCTTGCACCTTTCGCTGAGACAGATCAGTTCCCATCAAGGAGATCGATGCTGCCCCCAACAGTGGATGACCATGTGGACGTCGACAACATTTTGGAACACAGAGACTTGCCTGTTCCCAAGCCTGTCGGCAGGGGAGGACCACCCAAACCTATGAGGGAGTACCGGGTCAGATTCAAGCATCATATGGGTCCAAAGGAAGATTGTTGGTTCACAAGAGAGGAGCTCGTCAAAACGGCACCGCAGATCGTGACTGAGTATGAACGAAGACTGAAGGGGAAAGCACCTGCATAGAAGCACCTCATCGGACTTTCAAAGCTAAGGAGGATGGAATGCGAGGATTGAGCCCTCACGGGGCCCTTACGGACATGCAAATGTTCTGGGCTGTGGCCCCCAGCAAGATTTGTGCCCACCCTAAGTGAAGGCGAGCCTGAATATCCACGAGAGGCCTACTTTCGGCATTTTCCATATGTGGGGTATCGGACAGTTACAGCACACCAGTTTGTTACCGAGCAACATGAGCCTTCAGAGGCTCCTTCCAGAAGCAAGAGCTGCGCTGTACAGTTGAGCCCAGGGCTCAGACGGTTGCGCCCTGGGCACATGCTGTGTGAGGCCGACACATCACGGACTGGCTGCGGGCCAATGAAAATGCAGCATTGTCGTCACACATGCACCGCGCGCCAATGAGAATGCGGCAAACACTTGGAGCCTGGAGGGCTGCCTGGATGCGCCCAACTGTAAAGGGCCCAGGCCCAGCCTGGAGGGCTGCCTGGATGCGCCCAACTGTAAAGGGCCCAGGCCCGTGACAGCAAAGGTGGGCCTGGGCGCAGACACTGGGGCCTGACTGGAAGCTACTGGAAATTCGTCCAGCCAAGCCCATGCAGCCAAACACAGGGCCGCACTTTCCATGAAGGAAAGTGCCCTGGCCAAGCAGCGGCATTCTGCCCAGAGCAGGCAATGTGGCCACACTGTTGCTACGCATTGCGAAGCTGTGCTATGCAGGCAGGCCAGGGCACACGAGGGAGCAAGAGGTGAGAGGGCGCTGCAGTGGCAGCGGGAGCGGGTGCAGGTGATGCCGATGATGGTCTTCGGGTAGGAGGCGCATGCAGAGGGGTGTTGGGCTGTCATTAGGGGAGGAGAGAGAACGCACCTGGTGTATGCTGGCGGTCGACATTGGTGATGACGCCACGTACATTGGTCTGCAACCTCGATGTGATCGCATGAGCGTAGATAGGATAGATAGCTGAGTAGTGTAGAGTGGGCGCTGGGCGCCAGACAGTAGGAACGGCATTGGATACTGTGTTGGTGTGACCAGAGAGTGTCGGCATTGAGATACGAGTTCATTGTATTGCTCTTATTTGGATGGTATCTTGGTGCAGTGTGCTCTCTGCTTGGTACATTAGTATCTGGACTACTTCATGATTTTGCAACTTGGATTTCTGTCTATCGCCCTCGCTCATATTCCTTGCATTTGTCTTTCTGCTTTCGACTCAGCTTATTCATGGTTGGACTTCTGCAGGGTTTTGCATCTCAAAATTTTCAAGTCCTCATTGGATGGTTACTTGCATTTGTGTTCCCTCCTCCCTCCTCCTCCCTGGCTCCCACCAAGAAAACTCCGACTTTATTATGTGTTCTGGAAGCCGTGTCCAGCGTCCCTTACATTGATGACACACTTCAATCCTTCCTCCCATGATGGCTGAAGGACTCATAGACAGAGCATTGATTGCTTCTTTCTGGGAAAGGATTTACCACCGCTCTACCCCTGCAAAGTAGCCAACTAAGTTGCTCCCTTCAGCCCTCCATGCTGCCTTATAGACCCTCTTCATTCAAGAACTACCGTCTTCACCCGAATAGAACACCCGGTCATTATCGTTGCATCTGGACGGAAAATGGCCCCAAGTACGGCTATAATGACCAGGCGTTATATTTGGGTGAAGACGGTAATTTGTCCCCAAAGTGTGGATTTAGCGGATGGCATTGATTGCTTCTCCTTGGGAACAATTAACCATATCCCTCTCCTGGTCCCTTGTTGGGCCTGTGACTGACTATTCTTGGCTATACTGATGAACTGCGCCCTCTCTCTTGTAGTCTGCTGACGCTTGCTTATTATATAGTCGCGCTGAATATGCTAAGATGGGAAGGAATGCTTCTAGTTCTAACTGCTGGTGTGGCTTCTGTTTCAGGAGGCCTGTGCATACATGTTAATTGTTTGCCTAGGCTGTTGATTGCTCAAAATACGACTGTCACACCTTAGGGATGAGTTCTGTGCACTTTTTGTGATGTGGAGACAGATCGAACGGGGGGTGATCTTTTCATTTTCTATACACGTTGCGGTCTACTCATGCCGAGATACTCTTGTTCAAGGAGGGCCTGATTGTACCTTTAAGATCACACCTATTCATTTGCCTGCAAGTGAAGGCAAATTACATCGTGCTCCTCCACCGGAAAGGTGTCATCGGGATGAAGTGCCAGGTAATGAAAGCGTTGTACATAACAATAATAATGGCAGTGCAAGGGCTGATGATATAGAGGATGGGAGCGAGGGAAGCATAAGCAATCCGGAAAGTTGGGTGGAGCGGGAGACAGAATGTGTGGACATTGTCAATGGAAAGTCTGCATGGCGGTTCTACGGGCTAAGGATCGAGAGAGAGGTCGCGGAACTGGCTGTGATGATTACGACTGTGCCAATGGCGACCACCTCTGATGATCCTCTGACTAAAGTTAAGGAACCTTCTCATCCACTTGACAAAAACCCTTTCTTCCTAGCGCTGTTTGTGTGGGCAGGTGGCATCCCAGTCATTAGGCTGAATGCCAGTGACACAACGCCATCTCCAGCAGGGCCGAGCGGGAGTTTCGTGAATGGTACACGAATGTTGGCAGAGCAGGGGGAATACAGCACACCGGTCAGCAGTCGGATGAGACTGAAGTGGAAGTTAGAGCGATGGTTCGGGAAGTTGGAGAGTAAGACACGATCAGGGAACAAGTCGGAGCGTTTAGTGTTGGGTAACGACAAGTTCTCAATGGCGGTAAATGGGACCGCTCGAGTGGTAGTGCCCACTCCTAAATTGGGATGGTGGTATATTGGCGTAAAGATTGGGAAGAGAAGGAGCCAGCGGAGGACAAATGATACCAGTGAAGCACAAGGGGGTTTGCCTGAAATCTCTCAGCTATGCTTCAATGCAAGATGGAAATTGTGGAGGTGTATTTCTGGGTATGCAGGCGTAGACTGCAATTCAGATCTCACTCTTTTACAGGTTAGCGAAGCTATCTTCTTTCTCCCGCCCCAGCCACTGCTGAATTTTGTGGGTTCCCTGGTCTGCCCTTTCAGAAAAGAGAGTAACTTTATGATCATTCCCTCCTTCCCTCTTTTCTCTCCTCTCTCTTTCCATCCCTCCCTCTGTCACATGTATGCACAATTCCGCTTTTGTGGATCGAGCTGCTAGATCACCCCTGTACTGGCATGCATGCATATACATTTTAGTGGTTGGGATTTGACCTGTGACGATACGTCAAGTGTGAACGTTCTCTTTCTGAATGGATTAACCATAGAAAATCTGGATCATGACATGACATAGATCCCGGGGAACTCGTGCCTGGTAAGGAACCAGCATTTCCTTCAATCAATTTTACAAAAAGATGGGTTGGGAAAATTCAATTGCCAAACTCGTACCATTTGTCTATACAAGGAAATTTTATTTAAATTATTTTATAATAACATTTATATAGTATAGTAGTAGTAGTAGTAATAATAATAATAATAATAATAATAATAGTACTAAAGGAAGAAGGGGTCCTCACTGGACACCTGCCACGGGCCCAGGAAAAAGGCAGGGGGACCAGGAACCTCGTGGTGCACAGTGGGCATTAACAATTCGGGAGGCGTTGTGGATCGCCAGCGAGAGGCAGTGCAGAGGGGGTTAAAAAAAAGTGTGGCCTGGACTCGTTCCGAATTTTGTGTCGTGGCATTTTCTTTTGTTTTTTTGGGTCTGTTTGTGGATTCATTCCGGGCGCGTAGGTGAGTCCATGCTTCTGCCGATGTTTGACAGAATTTGGTGATTCCACCCACCTTCTTCTGTTACTTTTGGGTTGGGGTGTCACTTCGTTGTTGGGCTGTTTCTGACGATATTTGAATACAAGTACATAGCAAGCCTGTTCAGATGGAAACAAGACCTGTGACTGTTAGAGACTGGTGATCAGCTCGAATCACCCGAAAAGGGAAAAAGGAATCTCACAATTGTTTTTAACTTCTCTTTTGTGGCATTCGAGCTTTAGGCCTTTCTACCAACAACACTTGATAAGGGCATACTCACACTAGGACTTCTTCGACAAAGCCTTGGACGTGTTGCAGCTGGATTCATCCGGTCTGGCCGTAATTGCAGTCACATGCATTTTGGGAAGTGCTCCTGTGAGAAATGCCTTAATTGCACCAGTCAACCACACGGGCTTGGCTTTGTTTTCTCTTCTTTTTTTGAGATCGAATGAGGTCGTGAGCTCGAATCTGGCTGTATACAGTGTATAGCTCACACTGAAAAGGAAGAAAAGATCACGCAGCTGTTCTTTTTATCTCTTGTTGAATTCAGGCTTTGCTTCTTAAAAGTTTTTTGGTCTTTTTAGCTTTTTCAAGTTTTTGAAGTTTCGACAAAACGAGTTATAATTGCACTATGGGGCGAGAATCGCAAGATACAGTTTGCAATTGCACTTCGGGCACCCTACCTGGCCAGAAAGCTGGGTTGTATACATTGCCCAGACTGCAATTCTAAACTGTGTCTTGCCCCGTAGTGCAATTATAAATTTATAACCCATTTTTGTGACTCCCGCGTAGTTTCCCCCCCTTTTTTTTTTTGGTTGTTTGTAGCACTCAGCCCACATAGCTTTGCCGACCTAACCTGCACTGTACTGACCAGCCTACGTAATGGTTGACCGGGGGTGCACAGGAGATTACTGATAGCGACCATCATGGTAGCATCAGTGGCCTGGACGTGTTCGGCAAGGCCGATCAGCATCAGAGGCTGCTAATGGACCATTATTAAGATGAATCGTGTAGGTTCCTCAGCTGAATTGAAAGCGCATTTTATTTATCTAAGTTTTTTTCCTCATCGAAGATTGTGATGAAATCTTAATTACAGATGACCATACAATAGTAGTGAAACATGATTGCTAGGATTGAGCCTGCTGCTTTGGGTACTCAAATGGAATGTTACGACCCTGACCAATTTCAAAGTGCAATATTTACGAGAAAGCACAATGACGTCAAATTGCAGAAGCAATGAATGAACTTGAGAGAGAGAGAGGGAGGGGGAGAGAGAGAGAGAGAGAGAGAGAGAGAGAGAGAGAGAGAGAGAGAGAGGGAGAGAGGGAGAGACTCTCTGTGTGTGTGTGTGTGTGAGAGAGAGAGAGAGNGAGAGAGAGAGAGAGAGAGAGAGAGAGAGAGAGAGAGAGAGAGAGAGAGAGAGAGAGAGAGAGAGAGAGAGAGAGAGAGGAGAAGAAGAAGAAAGAAAGACGAAGAGGAAGATGTACACCAGCGAAAGACCAATGATAATTCCCCCTCCTTGCCAACCAAACTCCTTTCGCCTCCCCTCTTATTCAAACAATAAATAACAATAGTAATGATGAATGGCAGAACCAGAATCAATGTACGAATCCCACTTCTACCGCTTGACATCAACTGAGGTCCACCATAGCCATGGCCTCCTTCTTCCTCCTCTTCAACCAGGCGGAGGCTATGGTGGACTACTAAGGGCCTAGCCCTGTTGTGCAAAAGACAACGCAAAGCAGCTATGTCCGCTGCTTCTCAGGCCATCATGCCTGACTGTGCCTCGAAGCCTTCTTGGTGTGGCGCAATCCCCACTGGGGCCTTCCAGATGCAGCACCTGACAAGGTGATGAAGATGGCGTCCACCATAGCCAGGTAGGTACTTCGCTACTCTCCTCCCTAGTCCTCTTCTTCCTCCTCTTCCTACTGGCAGAGCTCCACTGTAGCTGAGGTGGAAGCTCCCGACCTTGTTCCTCCTCCCGGCGCTGTACTGCCCGGCGCACTTCCTTCGATCAACTCCCAGAAGGCTGGCGCTTGCTCAAGCAGCATGTCGTCCAAACTTGCATACCGCAAATGAGGTAGACCCCAGCGCTCTACCGGAAGATATAGCAGCCTACTTGCCTCTTGGGCGGTGACTTCCAGGTTGAGCGGCCTCCACGCACCCGGTACCTCCTCCCTTTCGGAGGGAAACATCATTGCAGGCTCTGATATCGTCCGTGCAGGTCCTAGACTCAGACTACTTGGACTGGTACCCGCCTAGACCTAGCCTACTAACTAATGGGCCTCTAAAATGCCAACTTTTGTCTTCTTCTGCTCGGACTCCAGTTCCCGCCACATCTACCACTACCTGAGTGGTACTGGCCTACCTACTACTTGAGTGTTTTTCCTGCTGCTCTAAGTGTTGCGGGCCTACTCCCGCCACTTGAGTGTTTTCCCCGCTGCAACCCTCAAAGTCATGGCCACAGGTAAGTACCGGCCCTGCGGGGACTCCAAACAAACAAGTACCGTTGCGGGTCACACACACACTCAGACCGACAAGCACTCGGACTGCCACGCAGACCAGCAGGCAGACACACACAGACTTAGAAAACTCAGCAGAACACGGGAATCTCAGCAAGGCATGCTAATCAGCAGTGTTCTCAGTCTGTCTTCTGACGGGTCATTACAGGAACGTCATATTCGAAAACGTGTTGATATACCCTGTGGAGTTATTTCTGCTCCAGTTCTAGCTCACGGGGAAATTGGAGACGATTGGACTTGAACCGACAACTTCATACTTGGAAACATATGCGTATTCCAGCGGTAAAACTCAGAAATCAGCAGTGTTCTCAGTCTGTGTTCTGACAGGTCATTACAGGAACGTCATATTGGAAAACGTGTTGATATACCCTGTGGAGTTATTTCTGCTCCAGTTCTAGCTCACGGGGAAATTGGAGACGACCGGACTTGAACCGACAGCTTCATACTTGGAAACATATGCGTTCTACCACTTGAACTACACCCTCGACGGAACGGAGGAATGAGATTTGAAGTTTGAACCTATGATGATACAAGCTTGTGAATGCAACTCACCCGAAAGAGTCGACCCAGCCGTGCAAAAGAAAAGCCCCGAATTCGCAGTCCGGGGATGCAAATCCAAACAATCCTATTTTATTGAAAGAAACTGGGCCGATATCCCATTATGACTTTGTTGTGGTCCAGTGACTCCAGTCCACATACTACGGACCACCCTGCTAGTACCACCCAACCCACATAGTATCAACTGGGCCACATTATACAACCCATTCTGCCACCCAACCCACTTTGTATTGCACAGGCCACATCACACAACCCTGCCTAGATGGTACCTCCTGTTTCACATGGTACGACCCACCCCACGTGGTATGACCCAAGCCACATAGCAGCACCCATGCCACAAAATACCCCTCAGCCCACATCGTACCCCGTGGCCGTGGCAAGGGTGAAATTGTGCCTGATGTTGGCGATGTGTTTTTTTCTTTTTTTGTCGTGGCCATGTCTGTGTTTTTTTTTTTTTTTTTTTTTTTGTGTGTGTTTGTGTGTGTTAGTACCATCCAGTCCGCATAGTGTGCACTTCTCCACATGGTGCCACCCTGTCCAACTCACGTACCATCACACAGGCCATATAACACCACCCAGCCCGCATGGTACCATAGCCGTGCCAACGGCGGGATTGTGCCTGTGTGTGCGTTGTTTCTTTCTTTGTGGCCGTGTTTGTGTTTTTTTTTTTTGGGGGGGGGAGTGCCATTGAATCTCCGTCGTATGACCCACTCTACATGGGACCGCCCAGTCCACATGATGCCACCCGCCCGGAATATTATCACTCACGCCCGAGGACCCAGTATGGCATCACCTGGGGGTCCCCAATTTTAGTCATGTGTGTTTGTTGTTTCTTTCTTTGTGGCTGTGTTTGTGTTTGGGAACGTCCGTGTGCACACGTGTGGCTGTGTTTGTGTTTGGGGGGTGGGGGGGGGGGGGGGGTGTCATCGGATCTGCGTCGTGTGACCCACTCTACACTTGACCGCCCAGTCCACATGATGCCACCCGCCCTGCATATTATCACCCACGCCCGAGGATACCACCCAGTATGGCATCACCTGGGGGTCCCAAACTTTGGTCATGAGTCTGTCGGATCTATTCACCGTTCAGATATTGATTCTCTGAAGATTTCATGGTTCAGTTGGCACACACATGAACTGTTGTAATACAGACCCAAGTTAGAAACCTGATACAATTAGATGAACTTGCAACAATTCTAAATTACCTGGGGCAGGTCAGTTCAATGAGATGATATCTCATGGCTGTCACCCTTTCACAAGAAGCAAAAAGTCACCGTCCCCAGAAGTAGGAATCAATCCTGCTTGGTATCTCAAATATCTTTGATTTAAGAACTTACAATCGGATGTCCGCCACAGCTACGCCAGTGGTGCACACCTGCTTGTCCTCCTCTCTCCCCCCCGTTCCCCCGCATCTGCTATCTATCCGGTCAAGCAACAAAAGCGAAAACACATTATGTGGACCGAGGCTCTCCCTATTCATATCTTTTGTTTTATTGTAGACTCCAGCATGCTGCTGCGGACCTGTCCGCTGACATGGCCAACTGAATGCCTGCAGATATGGCGGCAGTCGGGACTGCTGTTGGCTGCAATGCAACAACCCTGATGTGTAATAACGATCGAACTGCATGGGACTTCCTCTTGAGCACATGGTATTATAGTCACCACCTGTGGCTTATCCAAACATCAATGGAGCTGTGGAAGAGTGGAGAGATTAGTGTGGAATGCCATGAATTCAGAAAAGAAAAGAGTGCTCATGTGTGTGTGTGTGTGTGTGTGGGTGTGTGTGTGTGTGTGTGTGTGTTGGAGTGGGCGGGGGGGGAGGGGAGGAGGGATGGGGATGCGGGGGGGCTGAATAAGGGGAAAGAGATACAGCCTCATCGAGGAAAATGAGCAACACCAACATACCCATAGATACACACGCGCACACACGTTTCGTCGGTTGTTTGTGTATTTACACAGCCTAATTTTTACATGCTGAGCCTGCACATGGGTCCCGTTTCGGGGGCCCGACGGTTGCTGGGGGCCCCCAGCCTGCATGCCATTCAGGCATGCGCCCTGTAGGCCCACGGCCAGCCCTTGGGGCTGCAGGGTTTGATTAGAGGCAGCATTTATTTATTTCAAATTATTTGCTGTTCTTTTTTTGTCTGTTTCAGGCGTCGTTTCGGATTCACACACACACACACACACACACACACACACACACACACACACACACACACACACACACACACACACACACACACACACACACACTCCTGAAATTGCGTGCAAGTGGGCCGTGGAGGCACACGGGGATGTGGGCAGCTGCCGCTCAGCCACAATCAACGTGGGCAAGAGGCACAGTAGAAGGGGAGCTGCAAGAACAATGAAAGGGGTACCCCAAGAACAACCAAAAAACTGTCTAATTATAAAATTGCTTTAATATGTTGGACATCTCAAATGCTCT